TTCCATCTCAGCCCTCCTTGACTTGAGTACGGATCCTCTGCTTCCAGTAGTATGGGCCCATACTACCTTCCACATCTATCCGTACTTTCCTCAAGGATTACTTCGACTTCACCGAGCCCCTTTTTCCGATACCCTTTCCACTGATCTCATCCTAGGATTTCCTAGGGCACTCTCCGACCTACTCTCCGCCATCAGCTGCACTAGGAGTCCCTACCAACATTCCCTAACTAGCTTGCGGATACTGTTACATATCCGCTCACTAGTTAGTTAAAGTTAGTCAGGACCCCTATAGCACAAAGCAAGCAGCATTCGTGCATTGAGTAACCACTTCAAGCATAACCTAATCAGGCTATCCTACTGCTGACTAGACAGTCCTAGCATACAGCTCATACAACAGGCATTCAAGGCATCCTCCTAGACCCTTAGCCCTAGTCTAGCATGCAGTTCTCAGAATCATATATCAGGCATACAAGGCATCCTCCTAGATCCTTAGCCCTAGTCTAGCATGCAGTTCTCAGAATCATATGTCACATGACCTAACATAGCAAGTATGGGTATCTTGGGGAAAACGTACTTGAGCTCGGCCGGTCGCACGCATCACACACCTTGTTCTTTCTCAAAATTCCTTAACTTAGATTTTAGAAAATTGTTTTCTTTGTGAAAAATCTTTTAATCCCTCGGTTTGAGTCTAGACACCCCCGAGGGTGTGTCCGAATCCCTTAAACCAGGGCTCTGATACCAACTTGTAACATCCCAAAATTTGAGGCCAAAAATTTTGTTTTTAAATTAAGTAAATCATAAGTTATGTTACCAAAACATTGTCACTATTTCATCATTCATAAAATCATAAAATCATGTCTCGAAAACCATATCATCAGGAACAATGAAAATCAGAGTACAATCCCAGAAAATCCGATGCGGAAACCATGTGTGTGATGCGCTGCTACGCCGTCGGCTCTTTCTCCTTGGACGAAGAGGTACTTGAAACCAAAACTGAAACTGTAAGCACAAAGCTTAGTGAGTTCCCCCATCATACCACATACCACACAACACCGTCGGTATCTTTCAACCGGTAACTGCCATCGGTATCTTTCAACCGGTAATCATCATCGGTATCTTTCAACCGGTACTCGTCATCGGTATCTTTCAACCGGTAACTGGGGACTATTTCACCCCCTAGCACTAGCATACAGTAACGAGAGGTAATCATACAGTAAGGCATAACTGGGTAGAGACAACTAATCCCTTCCACACACATAACATATCACACAGGCATATCTCATGACCATAACACATTAACATACCAAGATAATTATCACAAAGACAATCATCTCAATCATAACTACCTACTGGTGGGCCGACATTGGTGCCTTAGACCCACCCCTACAGGAAGTTAACTCACCTCGTAGTAGTAGCTGCCGATCTGTGCGGGAACTCTCTGCCTGCTGATGCTGCTCCGGAAATCCTCCGGCTACAATTCTCACAAAACAATCAATCAGAGTCTGATAACTACTCTTATGGTAGAATGACTATTTTACCCCTGACCTAGTCAAAGTCAAGCCAAAGTCAACTTCCAGCTGACCTGACTCGCCGAGTTGGGCCGCCAACTCGTCGAGTCCTTATCCATCTAATTGTCCTCATTCCCGTCCCTACTTGTCGAGTTAGGCAATGACTCGACGAGTTCTCCTCCTATTCGAACATCGAATGATCCTTCATCCGACTCGCCGAGTTGTACGAACAACTCGCCGAGTTCATCTTCATCTGAAGAACAAGTCCTGTCCTTGACTCGCCGAGTTGTATGAACAACTCGTCGAGTTCATCTTCATATGCTGGGAGATTGCCTTAGACTCGCCGAGTCTGTTCATGTACTCGCCGAGTCCCATGAACTCCAGGTCTAAGGCTAAGTCCAATATGTTGGGGTCACTCCTTTGGATCCTCTAAAATTCTTACATCACCCAACTGTGTTCCTTCGAACCCTAACAGAAAAAGGGAGTCAAGTCTCCGACTCGCCGAGTCCCAAGAACGACTCGCCGAGTCGATAACGTCCAACTCTAATTCTTCGATTTCTGATGTGCAACTCTTGTCCAAATGATAGATCTATGCCCCTAAGATCGATCTAGCACGTAAAGTTACAAACTTTACGTGCATGCATGGGACTTTGAGCCTAAAATGCCCAAAAAGAAGCTCTCAAGATGCATGGAGCCTTCCATGGGTGCAAAAGCAACCCCTAACTGCCTTGTGACCCCTCCAAGGTCCTAGATCCGAAGCCTTGACCCCCCAACCATGCTTCCAATCATGGTTGGTTACAAAATATGGCTTAAAAGCCCTAAATTTCCCCAAAAAGGGATCTAACAAAAGAACAAGCAAGGTATAGACTTTATACCTTCTGGAGACTGCAAATGATGAACCAACAAGGACTCCTTTGGTCTTCTCTTGATCCCTCTAAGTTCTTCCTTCTTCCTTGTGATCAAACCACCAAAATCACCACAAATGCCTTAGATCTTCACACACACAATTAGGGTTCACTATGGAGGGTTTCTGGAAGCAATAGGGACGAGTGGGGGCTGAATGAGATGATTAAATAGGGTGCAAACCCTCAGATTAGGGTTTTTGTCCAGTCAGAGCCTACTCGTCGAGTCTGCAGCCGACTCGACGAGTCCGTCTTTTAAATCCCAAGTCAAATCCGTTTCTACTCGACGAGTTGGTCCTTCAACTCGCCGAGTCCCAGGCCAAAAATACAAAATACTCAAATAAAATACATACCAGGAACCAGGTGCTACAAATAAAAGTCAAGGTCTTGCCTCACTTTCATCCGTGAAGAGTGATGACAAAAAATTGGGATGATTTGCAACAATTTAAGGGCCAAAAAAAAACAAAATCTGTATTATCAGGGAGAAAACCATCTCACAACATGAATGTAACAAAATCAAGAAAAATAATGTCTTTGACAACTGCAGATCATGCCCTATTTCCAATTACTGATTTGAAAGAAATTAGTCAAAAGCATGAACGAAGTTGGAGAGAGGGAAAATTAGAATAGGGTCCAAGTACAATTACCTTATGCGTGTGATTGCAAATAACAGTTGAAGAAGGATGACGACTTCAATGTTAATCCATCGTGAGGAAGAGGGAAACCTGCGATTGTAAACCTTAACGTGTGAATTGTGACATATCCTAACATTTAGAAGTAAGGGTATTATCGTCCATTTAGTGTGTTTTTTCAATTATCGATTTGTTTTTGTAATATATTTAAGAAAAGAGCTTTAAGGGTATGTTTTATCATTTATCGATTTGCTTCTGTAACATATTGAGATTTGAATCGAAACCCTTAATTTGGTGGATGAGGTAGTCGGAATTCAAGTATGAGATAAAGCATAACTCCAATTTTCTTTAGGTCTTTCTGTTTGAAAAACTGAGTAGCCCCGAATGTTAATCAAAATCGAGAAAAAGAGCAGCCCCAAGTGAAAAAAAAATGAAAATTGGAGCAGCACCAAAGGGTAATCAAATTTAAACCATACCCCAATTAGTCTAAAGGTATTTTGATGGTTTAGAGATGGTATTTTTCCATCGGTAGATGTGTACTACGAGCTAGATAAAATGCTTGCATCTTATTGCTCTTTGATTTTATTTAGTTATGCTCATATCCACATACAACAGAATCATATGAGTTTAGGCCTAGGGATGTCAAAAAGTCCCATGGGACCCCGATCCCGTAGGGGTCCCCGTCCCGTATGGGGGCATTTTTTGAAAAAAATCGGGGACGGGGGCGGGGGCGGTGGCAAGGTTAACCCCCGTTTTAATTTCGGGGGCGGGGGCAGGGGTTGGTAGTCCCCTCCCAAAACCCCCGTGGGGGCCCCGTTAATAAATTATATAAATTAACATATATTAATTATATAAATATAATAAACAATAAAATGATTTTTACGTACAAAAATTCAACAAAAAACATGTTTTTAAGTTGTTTGTAACATGTAAAATTATGTTATAAATATCTATTTGTTACCCAAAAAATAGTTTCTTTTAGCCTAAACAAAAACTTCTTTTAGCCCAAATAAGGTAGCCCAAAATCAATCGGGGGCGGGGGAACAGGGGCGGGGGTCAGAAAGGGAATTCGGGGGCGGGGGTGGAAAGGATGGAGATTTTGGGGGCGGGGGTGGGGGCAGGGGAACGGGAAAATTTTGGGGGTGGGGGCGGGGGATGCAATCTCCGTCCCGTTTGCCCCCGTTGACATCACTATTTAGGCCACATTGATTTTCACTGCTTTTTGTTAGTAGTTTATGTTCAAACCTTCAAAAAGATCACAGAGACCTAGGAAACTAGTGCCGTATCACTAACCTTCTTGCATATAACTAATTCAAATATAATTGACTGGAGATTGATTGTGATTCCTCATGTTATGTAACTAAAACCTCATAAGTCATGGTATTCAATTTCCATTAAATAATGCATTAATTACATCAATGTGAAGGCTATGGTCTTTTATAAGTTTCCAATGGCCGACTAGTTCATGTATTCAAATTTCAATTATTTCCTACTTAACATTGGTATCCAAAAGGCTTTAGGATTTCAGAAGCATTGCAGAAAATCATGGCCTTTAGCCATGCGGGTTATTAGTTTTTATGAACAACATATTGTATGAATAAATAGACATTAGGTTTATTTATAGAATTCAAATAAGAACTCTTCAGTAATTTGAATAGCTTATAGAGTTGTTAAGGGTTGATATCTATTAGAAACTCATCATTTTTGGAGCACCGCAAGCATCAGGATAACAATTTATCTGCTTATGGGACATGTCATTTCTTCATTCAAATAAGAATCAAGCCAAAATTATTTAAGTCACACTAGAAGAAGGCATACAAATTGAAAATGTAATTACTATGAACAAAATCGTTGGAATTTAAGACTCATAGGAAGTGAAAACCAACATACAGAAATAATTAATGGAAACAATGACAGGGCCCTTCCTTATTTCCTAATCGTATTACAAGATTGATGATTTAGTACTTATTAATATGGCAAGCATAACAAATACTGAAATTATAGACTCTTGCCCGACATTCGAGGATGAAATAACCATTAATATCTTGATTACAATTAGAACACACATACTTGGGCGTTTTCTTTCTCCAAACAAATGTTAATGGATCTTTGTGACATGAATCATTCAAGGTGCCCTCGCGTAAAATGTTTGCATAATAATCGACTCGACTAATGCAATCAAGATGAAAAGAATTTTTGCATTTTTGACAATAATAGAGGGGGAACTTGGTATGCATTTCTTTCTCACAAATATCAAAATAGAAATCTTCCAGGTGATCCATGACCGAGGGATACGTCAATGGGATTTCATGTCCCTTGCAATACATATGACTAAGGGAATCTGTCATTCTCATTGCACAATACATGTCCAAGGTGAAGCTACAAGCCTTACAAGCATAACTTATACCCTTAAACCACTTGTTGCATGCGTTACAAATGGGTTTAGGATCGATAACTTGGATAAGAGGATGTTTGTGGGATTTATGTTTGATGTGGTTCGGTAGAAATGCACAGTTGACATCGAGGTTGAACTCACAAGTTTCACATCTGTATAAAAATGTGTTACTAAAGCTACGACAACCAGTGCATTTATAGTAGTTCTTATGTCGCATTGTGTTTATCAAGGCAAGTGAATGATCAGGGTGAAGTGGATGCTGTGATTTGAGTGGTAAGTCGGCGCAATATCTGTGGAGAGCGAATGAACATCCATCTTTGCAAGTATAGTATGGATGGGAGAGGGGTCGTACACACCCGTGACATACCTCAATTGGATCACTACAACCAGACATGTAGTTAGGTGTAGGTTGAGGTTGAACATGAAGGATTAATGGATGTTCATGACTCCAATGGTTAATATTAGTTGTTTCATCATCATCTTGAGTCATCTTTTCAAAATATAGTAGTTTCAATGGATCTGTAAATTGGTTTGACATGGGAAAATGCAGCAAACCATTTTCATCTTCATTAACAGTACTCAGACCATCTCTGAAACCACATAATCTTGATTAGAACAAGAATTCACAAACACACACCAAAAAGAAAGTAAAGAAGTTTTATTTACCATGGTGTTGATGGACGTTCTGCATGCAAGACACACTTTACATGTGCAAAAAATCTGCAATTTGCACAAAGATACAACCACTAATTCCGCTGGATGTATTTGTTGCAAATTTCACAATAATATGAGAAATTAAAGAATATTTCTGGAAGCGAATAAACGAGAACAAGTTCGTGATTAGGGTGATGAGGTAGATAGATGGTAGGCGCTAAGGAAGCACAAGTCTTGTGTATCCAAAAGTCACCACTATCACACTCATAGAATAAGCCTTCATCCTTAGTTTTGCAAGCATCACAAAATATTGCAGCAAGTCTTAATTCGAGGCTTAAAGTGTGTTGTGGGTTGCCTGCATGTTTAACCTTTATCTTTGCCTGCTCCTTGATTGCACCAGCTTCAGCCTTGAGATCAATTCTAGTAACACAACAATCAATGAAATCTATGAAGATGTATATATAATCCATTTCAAAAGTATATGAAAACACCCCAGATTTTTTTTGAATACGACACACCTCACATTGCCAATATTTGGAATCTAGATCATTCAAATCAGTAAGTTTTAGATGATGATGATATAAGGAAGGGTCGTTGATAGTGAGCGGAAGTTGTGCACATGCTTTATGCAGAAAGTAACGACATTGGAAGCAAGCATATGCAAAATACTTGATATGGGTTTTTCACATACATAGCAACCAATCAACCCTGATTTCTCATCACCACCATTGACACTAGCACCTATAATCGTCTCAGAGTCGAGGAGCTTTAATGGATGGCTTTTATGACTAAAATGGTTAATCTCTTCCATATCGTATCTCTTTTTTTTTAAATGACATATATTTAGCCCTTCCTTAAGTTTATATAAAATAAGGTAGAGGCAAAATTGGTCCTGTGCAACTGCCCACTGTACCCCCCTCAATGCCCCCATGTAGCAAACGTATGTGGTATCAATAACCTTCTGGTGTATAACTAATTCGAATACCATTGATTAGAGATTGAATGTGATTCCTCATGTTATGTCACTGAAACCTAGCAAGTCATGGTATTCAATTTCCATTATATAAACTCCTATGCCTTAATTTCATCAATGAGAAGGTTATGGTCTTTTATAAGCTTTGAAAATGTATCATTGGCCGACTAGTGCATGTAATCATATTTCATTGATTTCCTACTTAGCATTGGTATGAAAAATGCTTTGGGATTTCAGGTCAATGTGAAAGCATTGCAAAATGGCCCTTAGACACTTGGATTATTAGTTTTTATGAACAATATATTGTATGAATTAATAGGCACTAGGTCTATTTACAAAATTTAAATATGAGTTCTTCAGAAATTATAATAGTGTATCAAGTTGTTAAAGCTTGATGTCAACTAGAAACTCATTATTTTTTTAGCATCAGCATCACGATAAACTTTTTTTATGCGTATGGGACATATGGTTTCGTCCTTCAAATAAGAATGAAGCCAAGATTATTGAAGTCATACCTAAATAAGGCATACAAATTAAAATTTTAATTGTTATGAGCAAAGATTGCTTGAATTTAAGAAACATAAGAAGATAAAGCCAACATATTAGAAATAATTAATGGAAACAATGGCATGATTGAGGATTCATAATTTCTTATAATGACATTCATAACAAATATTGAAATTACAGACTCTTGCCCGACATTCGAGGCTCAAATAACCATTAATATCTTGATTACAAACAGAACACACATACTTTGGCGTTTTCTTTCTCCGAACAAATGTTAATGGATGTTTATGATAGGAAACATTTCTTATGCCCTTGTACAACATGTTTGCATGCCAATCGATTCGACTAATGCAATCAAGATGAAAAGAATTTTTGCATTTGTGACAATAATAGAGTGGGAACTTAGGGTGCATTTCAATCTCACAAATATCACAATAGAAATCTTCTGGATGATCCATGATTGGGGGATACATCAATGAGATTTCATGTCCTTTGCAATACCTATGAGCAAGGGAATGTGGTGACCTCATTGCACAATACATGTCTAATATGAAGTCGCAAGGCTTACAAGCATAGCTTATACCGTTCGAATATTTGTCACATGCGCTACAAAGAGGTTCAGGATCAATAACTTGGATAAGAGGATGCTTGTGGGATTTGTGTTTGATGGTTTTGGGTAGAAATGCACAATTGACATCAAGGTAGAACTTGCAAGTTTCACAGTTGTACAAAAACGTGTTGCCGTAGCTAAAACAACCAATGCATTTATAGTTTATACCATGTCCCGTTGTGTTTATCAAGACAAGAGAATGATCCGGGTGAAGTGGATGTTGTAATTTGAGGGGTAACTCGGTGCAATATTTGTGGAGAGTAAATGAACATCCATCTTTGCAACTATAGAACGGAAGGGAGAGGGGTCGCACACACCCGTGACATACCTCTATTGGATCACTAGAGATCATACCACACATGTTGTTAACTTGATGAACAACATTATGTATTAATGGATGATTGTGGCTCCAATGTGTAATTTCCTTCGTGTCATCATCATCCATAATTGTCTTATCCAAATGTAGCAGTTTTAATGGATCCGTGAATGCCTTTGACATGGGAAATTCCAACAAATCTTTTAGGTCTTCATCAACAAAAGAAGTACTTAAGACATCTCTGAAACCACAAAAAAATAAATAAATAAATCAGAAGAAGCATGCACAAACGCATAAAAAGGAAGTTTAATTTACCTTTGAGTAGTAGAAGTTTGCCCTGCATTTAAGGCACACCTGATATGGACAAAATATCTACAATTTGCACAATGATACAACCACTCATTCCGCTGGATGTATTTGTTGCAAACTTCACAATAGTAGAAGAAATTAAAGAATATTTCTGGAAGCGAATAGATGAGAACAAGTTCATGATTGGGGTGATTGGTTAGGTGGATGGTAGGTGCTAAGGAAACACAAGTCTTATGGATCCAAAAGTGACAACTATCACATTGATAGAACAAGCCTTCATTCTTATAAGTATTGCAAGCATCACAAAGGAATGCTGCATGTTTTAACTGAAGGGTTAAAGTGTGTTGTGGATGGCCTTCATGTTGAACCTTGATTGTTGCCTCCTCCTTGATAGCATCCGCTTCAACCTTACAAGCAATCCTAACAACACAACAATCAATGCAAGCTGCAAAGATGCACTTACCGTCCTTGGAAAAGTTATACGAAAACACACCAGGTTTCTTTTGAATACGACACACATCACAACGCCATGATCTGGAAGATGTAGAATTCAAAGGAGTAAGTGTTAGAAGATGGTTATATAAGGAAGGGTCGTTGAAAGTTGGCGGAAGTTGTGCACATTCTTTATGCAGAAAGTAACGACATTGGATGCAACCATATGCAAAGCCACTTGATATGGGTTTTCCACATACGTAGCATTCAATGAATTTTGGTTTCTCTTCATCACCACCAACAGTAGCACTTACAATCGTGTGAGAATTGAGGAGCTTTAATGGATGGTTTTTATGACTAAAATGATTAATCTCTTCCATCTCTCTCTCTCTCTCTCTCTCTCTCTCTCTCTCTCTCTCTCTCTCTCTCTCTCTCTCTCTCTCTCTCTCTCTCTCTCTCTCTCTCTCTCTCTTTTTTGTGTGAAAATGACTTATACTTAACCCTAAAATTTATAGAAAATGAGGTAGAGGCAAAATACCATTTCCACAACTAGAGAAATGAACTTAAGTTTTTTAGATTGCTTTGATTCCAAGTATAGTTTTTAAAATGATATTTACAACATTCTTTTCTCATATATCAAGTTAAAATTACCAAACATCTCTTTTTCCAATTGGAATTTTTTTTCTATTATCACACGAAAATATTGGATTTCTTCATTTTATCTTAATACATTGATTACTTTTTGAGCTTAACTGAAAAGTAAAAACAAAGATTTCGTTTAACATGTCTTGCCAATGCTTTTATTATTATTAATATTCTCACAAGGACTTTAATTGATCTATATACAAAATTAAAACGAAAAACAAAAAATCACATACATAATTTGATTTTAGTGATGTTTGTATTTCAAAAATTACTGTCCACAATATATTCATATTCATTTATAAGTACGTACTATTTTTCCTCCTTTAAAACTCCAAAGATGGTCATTAATCCCTAAAAACCCTAAGAAGAGATTTCTTGGTAGCCTTTTTGGAGCTAACTGAGCCCTTCTAGCAAAATGGCGATGTAGTGTCCTCTATGATCAAAATTTCAAATTGGTCGAGGTCATCAATGCAATCTATGGTCCAGATGGGGGTTTTATCAGCTCTAATCCTTCTAGATTCTTCATAATGGAAAGTGGGTAATGTTTGAATACATTTTTTTGGGTAGGAAATCAAGCTGATAGGTTGGCTATTGGATTTTGCTTTGATGAGTTCAGTGTTAGATCGTTTATAAAGTTTATTGATCAATCCTATCTCCAATCCTTTAGCTCGATTACCCTCTGGAATTCTCTTTCCCCTATTAAAATATGTCCTCATTTAGAGATTACCACACAATGGAATCACTCTGAGATGGAATTTGGGCATCTATTCCAAGATTCCTATCTCTCCTAACAGTTTTGGTATAGAGTGGGTCTTTGGTGGTCGGATGCTGTTTGTGGGGGGCATTTGGATGTTTAGGAACAATTTGACCTTCTTTTTCAAAAAAAAAAAAAAAAAAAAAAAAAAAAAAAACCGCTGATGAGTTGCTCGATTGGGTGGATTCTTGATCTTTTTTATGGATCAAGTCTAGAAAAGACAATTGTATTCTTAATTAGACCGAGTGGGTAAAAAATCTTATTCAAAGTATGTAATGCCTTGTTTGCTTCTCTCGCTTCTTGCTAGAGCTGTTGTAAATGAATGTTTCGTTGCTGCTGTAAAAAAAAATCTATACTATAATAATATTCTTTAAATAGATTAAACTCGTTGTCAAGTACATAATATTATTTTTTGAAGAATTTAACTATCTTACTCATTTATCACACAGTAAGTCTAATAAAATAAGAATTTATGATAGTGTAATGTCCAAATATATTACCATCTTATACCATTTCGATTGTTATAAACCTCAACCCTTTTACAAACAGAGTTGGACATGACCATGGTAAAAATGAGAGATGATTTTATCCTACCTTAAAAAAGGCCTCTGGTAGCTAGCCTTTCAAACAACTAACAAATGATATATTTCAGAGTTAATATGGTTTTTTATAATTTTATGTCAAATTATATTTCACAACTTTGGTTTTAATGATTTAAATAAGCAAGTGACAAGATTACATTATTAGAAATAATTGAAGTTTAAATAGCACAAAAGCATGAGAGTAATTTCAGGTAATTTCAAGTCCAGATTATGTGTTTATTGAATTCGTGAATCTGTAATTTAAGTTCAAGATTTATACAGACACCCAATCTTCCCCAAATCTGAATTTAATTCCCATCAGGAAACGATGCCAACGATGTCAGAGAAGCAGCTTGTTAGTGATGTTTATTTCACAGTTATTTCATAAATCATTGGTGTTAAATGTGTCCTGTTAAGAGAAATCCATGACAAGTTATCGAGGGTATATATAAAATTCTCCCATTGTAACTTTATATCAAATTATATTTGACAACTTTGGTTTTAAATTTAATGATTTAAATTGAACAAGTGAGAATTACATTATTAGAAAAAGCTCGAAATTCCATCTTCATAAATGTAAGCGACTCTCTCAAATGAAAGGTCTATGAGTTCAAGTTTCTTAGGAGAGGTAGGTTGTATATAGGAGTAGGTTAGCTAGTTTTCTGTTTAAAAAAAAGTGAATTTCAACATAAAGGGATTTCATGCGGTTTTTAATAGCACGAAAGCATGAAGTGTAATTTCAGGTAATTTCAAGTCCAGATTAAATTGCAACCAATCAGAAATAGCTTATGTGTTTATTGGATTCGTGAATCTGTACGTAATTACACATAATTATACATAACCCAATCTTCCCCAAAATCTGTAACTTAATTCCCATCATGAAACAATGCCAGACTGTTAGTGAGGTTTATTCAAGTTAGTGGTGTTAAATTGGTCATGTTAAAGGGAAATCCATGAAAAGTTTACTTGATAATCCCAAGTTCTTTATGTTGTTTTTAGTGTTAGACTTTTTATTTTCTTGCTTAAAAAGACAGATGTCGCTTTCTTCTCCATGAATGGATGTGTGCTTTCGTCTTCTGTCTACCAGGTGCTTGATGTAATGTTTGTGTCGTATTCTTCTTTGATTTTATTTGGTCATGTGCATGTCTCCAAATAAAAGACAAGATTGTAATGGATCTAACTTAAAAACATGTAGGTTATATATAGTGAATCCAGTTCAGGTGTACTATTGCAAATTGTTGTGATTTGAAATGGTTCTTCAAGCCAAACTTGGAGAAGGTATACAGATTGAAAAAATATATACACAAGTTTTCTACGAGCACAAAGTGCTTGATATTAGACAAGAAGAAGAAGAAGAAGAAGAAGAAGAAGAAGAGGAAGCCAACATATAATTTATTGAAATAATGGTATGGCCCTTCAATATTTCCTACCATAATGACAACCAAAGCATATATTGAAACCACAGACTCTTGCCCGACATTCGAGGATCAAAAAACCATTAATATCTTGATTACAAATAGAACACACGTACTTGGGCGTTTTCTTTCTCCGAACAAATGTTAATGGATGTTTGTGATATGAAACATTCAAGGTGCCCTCGTGGAAAATATTTAAATTATAATCGTCTCGAGTAATGCAATAGAGGTGAAAGGAATTTTTGCATCTGTGGCAATAATAAAGGGGGAGCTTGGGGTGCATTTCTTCCTCACAGATATCACAATAGAAATCTTCAGGATGATCCATGACTGGGGATACGTCAATGGGATTTCATGTCCTTTGCAATACCTGTGACCAAGGGAATGTGGCGATCTAATTGCACAAAACATGTCTAATAAGAAGTCGCAAGCCTTACAAGCATAACTTATACCACTAAACCCCATGTCACAAGCATTACAAGGAGTCTCAGTATCGATAACTTGGATAAGAGGATGCTTGTGGGATTTATGTTTGATGGTGTTGGGTAGAAATGCACAGTTGACATCGAGGTTGAACGTGCAAGTTTTACATTTGTATAAAAATGTGTTGACATAGCCCCAACAATCTTTACATCTATCGACATGTTCCCGTGTGTTTATCAAGTGAAGCGAATGATTTGGGTGAAGTGAATGTTGTAATTTGATGGGTAATTCGGCACAATATTTGTGGAGAGTGAATGAACATCCATCTTTGCAACTATAGTACGGTAGGGTGAGGGGTCGTACACACCCCTGACATACCTCTATCAGATCACTATTACAAGACATGTTGTTTGCTTGGGCTTCAACAGTAAGGATTAATGGATGGTGATGACTCCAATGCTTAATCTTAGTTTTTTCATCATCAACTCGACTCATCTTTTCGAAATGTAGCAGTTTCAATGGATCTGTAAATGCATCTGACATGGGAAAATGCAGCAAACCATTTTCATCCTCATCATCTCTGCAACCACATAATCTTGTTTAGAACTAGCGTTCAACACAAACACAAAATATATATAAAAAAAAAGTAAAGAAGTTTTACTTACCTTGGAGTAGAAGGAAGTTCTGAATGTAAGGCACACTTTATATGAGCAAAATATCTACAATTTGCACATTGATACAACCATTCATTCCGCAGGATGTATTCGTTGCAAATTTCACAATAATATGGGAAATTAAAGAATTTTTCAGAAAGTGAATAGACGAGAACAAGTGGGTGATTAGGGTGATGGGGAAGATTGATAGTAGAGGCTAAGGAAGCACAAGTCTTGTGGATCCAGAAGTCACAACTATCACACTCATAGAACAAGCCTTCATCCTTAGAATTGCAAGCATCACACCGGAATGCAGCAGGTCTTAACTGTAGGGTTAAAGTGTGGTGTGGATGGCCTTCGTGTTGAACCTTGATCTTTGCCTCCTCCTTGATAGCATCAGCTTCAGCCTTGAGATAAATTCTAGCAACACAACAATCAATGCAAGCTGCAAAGGTGTATTTATTATCCTTAATAAAGATATAGGAAAACACTCCGGGTGTCTTTCGAATACGACACACATCACATTGTCTTGATCTAGAATCTGTATTTTTCATATCAGTAAGTGTTAGAGGGTGATGATATAAGGAAGGGTCATTGATAGTAGGGGGAAGTTGTGTGCATGCTTTATGGAGAAAGTAGCGACATTGGATGCAAGCATATGCAAAACCACTTGATATGGGTTTTTCACATGCATAGCAGCCAATCACTTGTGGTGTTTTATCACCACCATCAAAACTAACACCAACAATTGTCTTGGAGTTGATGAGCTTTAATGGATGGTTTTCATGACTAAAGTGATTAATCTCTTCCATGTCTTATCTCTCTTTTATGTGGAAAATGACATATATTTAACCTTCAAATTTTGAGAAAATAAGTAGAGACAAAATACCATTTCCACAACTAGAGAAATCAACTTAACTTTTTGAGATTGCTTTGATTCCAAGTATAGTTCTTAAAATGCTATTTACAACATTCTTTTCTCATATATCAAGTTAAAATTATCAAACATCTATTTTTTCAATTGGAATTTTCTTTCTATGTCACAGGAAATGAATTGGATTCTTATTTTATCTTAATTCGTTGATTACTCTTTGAGCTTAATTGAAAATTAAAAACAAGAATTCGTTTAATACGTATTGCCAATACTTTTATTATTTTTATTAATAATGTTTTCACGAGGACTTGAATTGATCTGTATACAAGATTAGAAAGAAAAAAAATCACTTAGATAATTTGATTTATTGATGTTTGTATTTCAAAAATTACTCATTCAGATCGACATATATCATCCAAAATATGTTCATATTCATTTATGCAGTTGAGTATCATATATTCTATAAATATAATAAATGGTTTTCAAGAGTCTATATAATTAGAGTACATAATATATTTTTTTAAGAATTTAACTACATTACTTTAGTTAGCTTACTTTAAGTAGAATGAACTAACAATCTACTATAGTGTAATTTCAAAATATATTACCATCTTATACCATTTGGATTGTTATAAATCTCAATCCTTTTACAAAGAAAGTTGGAGATCACCTTGTAGGAACAAGAGATATGATTTCTCATATCATAAAAAAGGTTTTCTAGTAGCTAGCCTTTCAAACAATAAACAATGATATATGCTGGTGTAGATATGGTATTTGTAATTTTATTAGAGATTATATTTGACAAATTTGGTTAAATTAATGATTCAAATTGACGAAGTAAAAAGCTCTACTGATTTGCAACAAGATGGTAATTGTTGTTTTCATCATCGGGAGATGTTGCAAAAAAAGGATTCCGGTAACCTCCAGAAAAACAGATGAAATTCACCAAAACAATTCAAAGGGCAAAATGGTCAAAATCTGAATTAAAAGGGAGAAAACCATCTCACAACATGAATGCGGCAGCATTAGAAATGTTAAATTTCAGCAAAGCAACACCAGGGGTAAAATAGTCAAAAGTTGACTCGAAAGGAAGAAGCCACCTCACAACAATTACACAAGTCAGCTATGAAACTTCGAAGGAATAAACAACAAGACTTTGCTCAAGAAAAGAGCTTTAAGGTAGTTGGAATATTTGAGTAATGACGTAATTCTGTGACATATTGAGTTTGAGTCGAATCCCCTAATTTAGAAGATGAGGTAGCTGGAATAAATGAGGAATTCAAATGTTAAGCAAAATCGAGAAACAGAGCAACCCCAAGTGACAGCAAGAATCAATACAGGTATATTGATGGTTTAGAAATGTGATTTTGGATTCTGCTTCTTTTTATAGCGTTCTAAATATTTTTCAGAAACATATTTAGAAAGAATGTTGTTCATTGAAAAATAGAAGGATAGAGTGCAGGTTTTGGTAGATAGCTAATCATTTTGGAGAAATGGACCAACTTCTTGTGTATAAGTAATTCGAATACCATTGATTAGAGATTGAATGTGATTCCTCATGTTATGTAACTGAAACCTAGCAAGTCATGTTATTCAATTTCCATTATATAAACTCCTATGCCTTAATTTCATCAATGAGAAGGTTATGGTCTTTTATAAGCTTTGACAATGTATCATTGGCCGACTAGTGCATGTATTCATATTTCAATGATTTCCTACTTAGCATTGGTATGCAAAATGCTTTGGGATTTCAGGTCAATGTGAAAGCATTGCAGAATGGCCCTTAGACACTTGGATTATTAGTTTTTATGAACAAGATATTGTATGAATTAATAGGCACCAGGTCTATTTACAAAATTTAAATATGAGTTCTTCAGAAATTATAATAGCATATCAAGTTGTTAAAGCTTGATGTCAACTAGAAACTCATTATTTTTTAGCATCAGCATCACGATAAAATTTTTTATGCGTATGGCACATGTGGTTTCTTCCTTCAAATATGAATCAAGCCAAGATTATTGAAGTCATACCTAAATAAGGCATACAAATTAAAAATGCAATTGTTATGAGCAAAGATCGCTTGAATTTAAGACACATAAGAAGATACAGCCAACATATTAGAAATAATTAATGGAAACAATGGCATGATTGAGGATTCATAATTTCTTATAATGACATTCATAACAAATATTGAAATTAGAGACTCTTGCCCGACATTCGAGGCTCAAATAACCATCAGGCCCGGTTATGGGCAGGGGCAAGTGGGGCATGTGTCCAGGGCCCAGTTTTATGTGGGGCCCAAAATAAAATTTACTATATTTTATACTATATTCAGCAATCGAAAACTAGGCCCAAATGCAAAGTGAAGTGCACAACATACGTCCATCTTCATATATTTTATGGGGGCCCACATTAACATGAAAGAGTAAAGTGAAAAAGAGTAAAGTGAAGAACATCTTTAAGCGCTTAAAGGCTTACGGTTTTTTTTTTTTTTAACAAACCGTAACATTTGTTATATATATATATATATATATATATATATATATATATATATATATATATATATATATATATATTCCTTACATGTTAGGACTTAAGGGTCTTTTTTTACTCGTACTGGGCATTTGGATTCTTAGGACCGGCCCTGATAACCATTAATATCTTGATTACAAACAGAACACACATACTTGGGTGTTTTCTTTCTCCGAACAAATGTTAATGGATGTTTGTGATAGGAAACATTCAAGGTGCCTTCTTTGAAAATGTTTGAATAATAATCGAATCGACTAATGCAATCAAGGTGAAAAGAATTCTTGCAATTGCCACAATAATAGAGGGGGAACTTGGGGTGCATTTCTTCCTCACAAATATCACAATAGAAATCTTCAAGATGATCCATGACCGGGGGATATGTCAATGGGATTTCATGTCCTTTGCAATACCTATGACCAAGGGTATGTGGCGACCTCATTGCACATTTCATGCCTAATATGAAGCTACAAGCCTTACAAACATATCTTATACAATTAGACCACATGTTGCAAGCGTTACAAAGAGGTCCAGGATCGATAACTTGGATAAGAGGATGCTTGTGGGATTTGTGTTTGATGGTTTTGGGTAGAAATGCACAGTTGACATCAAGGTAGAACTTGCAAGTTTCACAGTTGTAAAAAAACATGTTGGCGTAGCTAAAACAACCAATGCATGTATAGTTTATACCATGCCCCGTTGTGTTTATCAAGACAAGCGAATGATCCGGGTGAAGTGGATGTTGTAATTTGAGGGGTAACTCGGTGCAATATTTGTGGAGAGTAAATGAACATCCATCTTTGCAACTATAGAATGGAAGGGAGAGGGGTCGTACACACCCGTGACATACCTCTATTGGATCACTAGAGATCATACCATACATGTTGTTAACTTGATGAATAACATTAAGTATTAATGGATGATGATGGCTCCAATGTTTAATTTCCTTCGTGTCATCATCATCTATAATTGTCTTATCCAAATGTAGCAGTTTTAATGGATCCGTGAATGCCTCTGACATGGGAAATTCCAACAAATCTTTTAGGTCTTTATCAACAAAAGAAGTACTTGAGACATCTCTGAAACCACAAAAAATAAATAAATAAATAAATAAATAAATCAGAAGAAGCATTCACAAACGCAAAAAAAAAAAAAAAAAAAAAAAATTAATTTACCTTTGAGTAGTAGAAGTTTGCTCTGCATTTAAGGCACACCTGATATGGACAAAATATCTACAATTTGCACAATGATACAACCACTCATTCCGCTGGATGTATTTGTTGTAAATTTCACAATAATATGGGAAATTAAAGAATATTTCTGGAAGCGAATAGACGAGAACAAGTTCGTGATTGGGGTGATGGGGTAGTCGGATGGTAGGTGCTAAGGAAGCACAAGTCTTGTGGATCCAAAATTGACAACTATCACATTGATAGAACAAGCCTTCATTCTTATAAGTATTGCAAGCATCACAAAGGAATGCTGCAGTTTTAACTGAAGGGTTAAAGTGTGTTCTGGATGGCCTTCATGTTGAACCTTCATCTTTGCCTCCTCCTTGATAGCATCTGCTTCAGCCTTGCGAGCAATCCTACCAACACAACAATCAATGCAAGCTTTAAAGATGTATATCTTATCCTTCTCAAAAGTATATGAAAACACCCCAGATTTCTTTAGAATACGACACACATCACAATTCCAAGATCTGGAATATGGATTTTTCACATCAGTAAGTGTTAGATGATGATCATATAAGGAAGGGTCGTTGATACTGAGCGGAAGTTGTGCACATTCTTTATGAAGAAAGTAACGACATTGGATGCATATGCAACACCACTTGATATGGGTTTTTCACATGCATAGCAACCAATCAACCCTGATTTCTCATCACCACCATTGACACTAGCACCTACAATCGTCTCATAGTCGAGGAGTTTTAATTGATGGTTTTCATGACTAAAATGGTTAATCTCTTCCATATCTTCTCTCTCTTGGTTTTTTGAAAAATGACATATATTTAGCCCTTCACTAAATTTATAGAAAATAGGGTATAGGCAAAATACCATTTCCCCAAAATCAACTTAACTTTTTTTAGATTGCTTTGCTTACAAGTATAAATTTTAAAATGCTATTTACAACATTCTTTTCTCATATATCAAGTTAAATTTACTATACATCTTTTTTCCAATTTATATTCTCTTTCTGTATGTATTAGTCATGATTTCACGAAAATAATTAGATTCCTTCCTTTTATTTTAAGTCGTTGATTACTTTTGTTTTTAGCTTTATTGAAAATTAAAAACAAAAATTGTTTAACAAGTTTTGCCAATGGATATTATTTTTATGCATTAGTTGTGATTTCACAAGGACTTTAAATGATCAATATAATTTAAAAAAAAAATAACAACGTAGGTATATAGTTTGATTTTAGTGATGATTGTATTTCAAAATTTATTCTCTTGTGATTTCAAATATCTCATCCACAATATATTCATATTCATTTATTCGGTAGACTATCATAATATTCTTTTAATATACTAAAATGGTTTTCAAGAGTCTATATAATTAGAGTACATAATATATTTTTGAAGAATTTAACTATATTATTTTAATTATCACACTTTAAGACTATGTTTGACAGACTAGCTGAAAAGTTAGTTGATTGCTGCAAAGTTAGCAACTAGTTGATAAAATATGACGTTTGCTAAAAACTCGCTGATAAGCTACTTATGAAATATAAAACGACATATAAGGAAATGTACGAAAATGATTCAAATTTAATTAGAAAAATATGTAATGCATAAAATTATATTAATGTAAATACTAAAAAACATTTCTCCGATTATTTGTATTTAAGTAAAATTTTGTGCATCCCATATCATATTTGCAATATCATCACGGATTTTCTTGCATCTCATGGCATGACTGTCGAATATTATCATGACTAAATCTTGAATGATTCTTATGCTCTTTTGTATGTATGTAATTGTTCTGTATAGGAGGCATATTTCTTATAAAAGCCTTGTAGCACACATCCTAAATTTCATAAGGGCGGAAATCAATACTTTTAAAAAAAAATTAACTACTATTATATACATACAAAAAGTCAGCAGAAGGTGGGGAACAGAGTACAAGGCTAAGGACTAGTGAATAAACTTTTGTTATCTGTAATTGCAAATCCTAATAATATTGAGTTACAACATAGAAGGTGGTGCTTTTTTTTTTTTTTTTTTTTTTTTTTTTTTTTTTGGCATGATACGGTTAATTATGTTTACTGTTCTTTATAGTGTTACATGATATGAGTTGCAATTATATGTTTAGTGGCTACACTATATTCATGCTTATAAAGATACTTATAAATATATAGTATTTGATTTTTGAGGTTGAAATGAACATTGTTTGACTTTAAAGTTGGCATAAACATTAATTTGTGGGTGATAATTTATATTTATATTAACCACTTGAAATAAGTACTACGTGTTAGTAAATGAATGCATAAACCGATAAGAAATCCACTTTCTTGCATAAATTAGTAGAAGAGTGTAACTTGAAATAAGTACTACAGAAATTCACTTATGACCAACCTTCAACTTGAACACTGTGACCAGATACTCCCTAATCATGCCCTTTCTTATGCAATTCAAGAGAGACATCTCTTTTAGACATTTTGTCGAGCATTATGTGGGCGTCCATTAAAAGAACTGAATTTATTTATGAATAAATTACAGTTTGATACTATGTTGATGATCTTTTAGCTTGCTACAAGCTGCACAATGGTTTATCTTTTAACAGCATACTTACTATGACGGGTTTATTGCAATTTTGGCTTAAATGACACTTTGATGAAATTGTTTCAAGACCTTGCTATGATTTATCTGCAATACAAGTTTTTTATTGGGTTATAAATTCTTGTTTTTTATTAATCTTGTTCGTAATTAGGAAGCTGGTTAATACAAATTGGAACCAAGGAATCAGAAGGGCATACAACTACAGAGAGACAATCGCATTGGCCCACACTTCAAATCATATAAACGACTATAAAATTGCTTACTCAGATCATATAAATTGGAGAAACAACAAGTTGATTAAAAAAGATTACTGACCTTGAGTTCGTTTGAAGCTTTGACTAACCAGATAAAAAGAAAACATTCGTCTTATGACACTGAAACAATCAAAGACGTAATAAAATCAACGTAATCAACAATTACGATAACAGATGACACAGAAGCACAATACATGGTATGAAAACGATACTAAACCTTGAAATCGATTGAAGATTGCTTTGTAGAAACCGAATTGAAAAATTGGTACTATGAAATTGGTACCTGTGCTTTTATAGAAATGGTGGTGGGAAAACGTTGTTAGTTTCTTGTGATTCAGAGGGAACCGATTTGGTGGATAAACAGATCTCCGGATTATGGTGCTGATTTCATAATTATAAACCAATCATTTTGTAACAGAGGTCGATTTCTTTTTCTGTCATAGGAGGCGTACTTTCAGCTTTTGCCTACAAGGTGCTTGACGAAATGCTTGCTTCTTATTGTTCTTTAATTTTCTTTTGTTAAGTTCATATCCAGATAGAACACAATCATATGACTTTCTACCACAATGATTATCTCTGTTTTTTGTCAATAATTTTATGTTCAAACCTTCAAAAATATCACAGAGACCTAGCAAACCTGTGTGGTATCACTAACCTTCTTGCATATAACTAATTCAAATATCATTGTCTGGAGATTGAACGTTCTTTATCATGTTATGTAACTGAAACCTAGTCAGTCATAGTATTCGATTTTCATTATATAAACTCCTATGCCTTAATCACATCAATGTGAAGGCTATGGTGTTTTATATGTTTTCAATGGCTGACTAATGCATGTATTGAAATTTCAATGATTGCCTACTTAGCATTGTTATCCAAAAGGCTTTAGGATTTCAGGTCAATGTGAAAGCATTACAGAAAATCATGGCCTTTAGACACTCGGTTTATTATTTTTTATGAACATATTGTATGAATTAATAAGCATCAGGTTTATTTACAGAATTCAAATAAGAATTCTTCAGTAATTTGAGTAGCTTATCAAGTTGTTTAAGGTCGATATCTATTAGAAACTCATTGTTTTTAGAGCACCTTAAGTATCAAGATTATTAGTTGATATTAGTATACGAATATCAACTAATTATACTAATATCAACTAATAAGGATAGCAATATATCATGAGACATGGTTTCTTCATTCAAGTAAGAATCAAGCCAATATTATTTAAGTCCCACTTGAAGAAGGCTTACAAATTGAAAATGTAATTACTATTATCAAAGATCGCTTGAATTTAAGACTCAAAAGAAATGTAAACAAACATACGGAAAGAATGTATGAAAACAATGACATGGCCCTTCCTTGGTTCATAATTGTATTACATGATTGATGATTCATTACTTCGTATAATGACACCGAAAACAAATATTGAAATTACAGACTCTTGCCCGACATTCGAGGATCAAGAAACCATTAATATCTTGATTACAAATAGATCACACGTACTTGGGCGTTTTTCTTTCTCCGAACATATGTTAATGGATGTTTGTGATATGAAACATCCAAGGTGCCCTCATGGAAAATGTTTAAATTATAATCGTCTCGAGTAATGCAATAGAGGTGAAAAGAATTTTTGCATTTGTGACAATAATAGAGTGGCAGCTTAGGGTGCATTTCTTCCTCACAAATATCACAATAGAAATCTTCAGGATGATCCATGACTGGGGGATACGTCAATGGAATTTCATGTCCTTTGCAATACCTATGACCAAGGGTATGTGGCGACCTCATTGCACATTTCATGCCTAATATGAAGCTACAAGCCTTACAAGCATAACTTATACCACTAAACCCCATGTCACAAGCATTACAAGGAGTTTCAGGATCGATAACTTGGATAAGAAGATGCTTGTGGGATTTATGTTTGATGGTGTTGGGTAGGAATGCACAATTGACATCGAGGTTGAACGTGCAAGTTTTACATTTGTATGAAAATGTGTTGACATAGCCCCAACAACCTGTACATCTATCGACATGTTCCCGTGTGTTTATCAAGTGAAGCGAATGATTTGGGTGAAGTGAATGTTGTAATTTGGTGGGTAATTCGGCACAATATTTGTGGAGAGTGAATGAACATCCATCTTTGCAACTATAGTACGGTAGGGTGAGGGGCCGTACACACCCCTGACATACCTCAATCATATCACTACTACAAGACATGTTGTTTGCTTGGGCTTCAATAGTAAGGATTAACGGATGGTGATGACTCCAATGCTTAATATTTGTTTTTTCATCATCAACTTGAGTCATCTTTTCAAAATGTAGTAGTTTCAATGGATCTGTAAATGCGTTTGACATGGGAAAATGCAGCAAACCTTTTACATCATCATCATACTCTTGTTTAGAACTAGCGTTAAACACAAAACACAAAACACAAAAAAAATAAAGAAGTTTTACTTACCTTGGAGTAGAAGGAAGTTCTGCATGTAAGGCACACTTTATATGAGCAAAATATCTACAATTTGCACATTGATACCACCATTCATTCCGCAGGATGTATTCATTGCAAATTTCACAATAATACAGGAAATTAAAGAATTTTTCAGAAAGTGAATAGATGAGAACAAGTGGGTGATTAGGATGATGGGGAAGATTGATAGTAGAGGCTAAGGAAGCACAAGTCTTGTGGATCCAGAAGTCAGAACTATCACACTCATAGAATAAGCTTTCATCCTTAGAATTGCAAGCATCACACCGGAATGCAACATGTCTTAACTGTAGGCTTAAAGTGTGGTGTGGATGGCCTTCGTGTTGAACCTTGATCTTTGTTTCCTCCTTGATAGCATCAGCTTCGGCCTTGAGAGAAATTCTAGCAACACAACAATCAATGCAAGCTGCAAAGGTGTATTTATTATCTTTAATAAAGATATACGAAAACACTCCGGGTGTCTTTCGAATACGACACACATCACATTGCCTTGATCTAGAATCTGTATTTTTCATATCAGTGAGTGTTAGAGGGTGATGATATAAGGAAGGCTCATTGACAGTAGGGGGTAGTTGTGCACATGCTTTATGGAGAAAGTAGCGACATTGGATGCAAGCATATGCAAACCCACTTGATATGAGTTTTTCACATGCATAGCAGCCAATCACTTGTGGTTTTTTTTATCACCACCATCAAAACTAACACCAACAAGTGTCTTGGAGTTGATGAGCTTTAATGGATGGTTTTCATGACTAAAGTGATTAATCTCTTCCATGTCTTATCTCTCTTTTACGTGGAATATGACATATATTTAACCTTCAAATTTATAGAAAATGAGGTAGAGGTAAAATACCATTTCCACAACTAGAGAAATCAACTTAACTTTTTTAGTTTGCTTTGATTCCAAGTATAGTTCTTAAAATGCTATTTACAACATTCTTTTCTCATATATCAAGTTAAAATTATCAAACATCTATTTTTTGAATTGAAATTTTCTTTCTATATCACACAAAATGAATTGGATTCTATAATTTATCTTAATTCGTTGATTACTCTTTAAGCTTAATTGCTTAATTGAAAATTAAAAACAAGAATTTGTTTAACACGTCTTGCCAATGCTTTTATTATTTTTATTAATAATGTTTTCACGAGGACTTAAATTGACCTGTATACAAGATTAGAAAGAAAAAAAACACTTAGATAATTTAATTTATTGATGTTTGTATTTCAAAAATTACCCATTCAGATCGACATTTCTCATCCAGAATATGTTCATATTCATTTATGCAGTAGACTATCATATATTCTATAAATATATTAAACTGGATTTCAAGAGTATATATAATTAGAGTATATAATATATTTTTTTATGAATTGAACTACATTACTTTAGTTAGCTTACTTTAAGTCGAATGAACTAACAATGTACTATAGTGTAATTTCAAAATACATTACCATCTTATACCATTTGGATTGTTATAAATCTCAATCCGTTTACAAAGAAAGGTGGAGATCTACTACCGCAAATTGTTATGTGATTTGTGATGGTTGTTTAACATACACTTGGAGAAGGTATATACAGATTGAAAATATGTGTAAGTTTGCTATGAACATTGAGTTGTTGAATATAAGACACGAAGAAGAGAAATCCAACATATATATTTATAATTTATGGAAACAATGACATATATGACCCTTTCTTAGTTCCTAATCATATGACATGATTAAGGCCCCATTTCCTATAAAAAGCACATTGAGAGCATATATTGAAACTACAGACTCTACTCCGACATTCTAGGATCAAACAACCATTAATATCTTGATTACAATTAGAACACACATACTTGGGCGTCTTCTTTCTTCGGACATATGTTAACGGATGTTTATGATAGCGAACATTCATGGTTATGCCCTCGTGGAAAACGTTTTCAAAAAGCCTCAATCGATTAATGCAATGACGGTGAAAAGAATTTTTGCATTTGCCACAATAATAGAGGGGGAGCTTAGGGTTCATTTCTTCCTCACATATATCACAAAAGAAATCTTCAGGATGATCCATGACGGGGGGATATGTCAATGGGATTTCATGTCCTTTGCAATACCTGTGACCAAGGGAATCTGGCGATCTCGTTGCACAATACATGTCCAATGTGAAGCTACAAGCCTTACAAGCATAACTAATATAATTAGACCACATGTTGCAAGCAGTACAAGCAGGTACAGGATCGATAACTTGCATAAGTGGATGCTTGTGGGATTTATGTTTGATGGTGTTGGGTAGAAATGCACAACTAACATCAAGTTTGAACTCACAAGTTTCACATTTGTACAAAAACGTGTTGCAAAAGCTCCCACAACCATTGCATTGATTGTAATTCCCATGTCCCCATGTGTTTATCAAGGCAAGCAAAAGATATGTTTTTATCAAGTCAAGCGAATTATCTGTGTTTATCAAGGAAAGCGAATGATTTGTGTTTATCAAGGCAAGCGAATGATCTGGGTGAAGTGGATGTTGTAATTTGAGTGGTAACTCGGCACAATATTTGTGGAGAGAGAATGAACATCCATCTTTGCAACTATAGTATGGAAGGGAGAGGGGTCGCACACACCCGTGACATACCTCAATTAGATCACTACAACCAGACATGCTGTTAGCTTGAGGTTGAGGTTGAACATGAAGGATTAATGGATGCTCATGACTCCAATGGTTAATATTAGTTGTTTCATCATCATTATGTTGAGCTGTCGTTTCAAAATGTACTAGTTTCAATGGATCTGTAAATGCCTCTAACATGGGAAAATGAAGCAAATTATTTGCGTCTTCATCATCAATAGAAGGACTTGTGCTATCCCTGAAACCAGTATATAATTAAGAACAAGCATTCACAAACACAAAGAAGTAAACAACTTTTACCTTGGAGTAGAAGGTTGCTCCACTGCATTTAAGGCGCACTTGATATGGACAAAATATCTACAATTTGCACATTGATACAACCACAAATTCCTCCGGATGTATTTGTTGCAAATTTCACAGTAATACAAGAAATTGAAGAAATTTTCAGGAAGTGAATAGACGAGAACAAGTTTGTGATTGGGGTGATGGGGTAGTTGGATGGTAGGGGCTAAGGAAGCACAAGTCTTATGTATCCAGAAGTCACAAGTGTCACACTCATAGAATAAGCCTTCATCCTTAGCATTGCAAGCATCACACAGGAATGAAGCAGGTCTTAACTGGAGGGTTAAAGCATGTTTTGGATGGCCTTCATGATGAACCTTGATCGTTGCCTCCTCCTTGATGGCATCTGCTTCAGCCCTGTGAGCAATCTCAAAAACACAACAATCAATGCAAGCTGTAAACTTAATTAAAGTGTTATGCTGCTCAACAAATATATATGCAAATCCACTACGTTTCTTTTGAATCTGACACATGTTACAAAACCAAGATCTGTTATCTCTAAGTTGCAAATCAGTAAGTGTTAGAGGGTGATGATATAAGGAAGGGTCGTTGAAAGTATGGGGAAGTTGTGCGCATGCTTTATGTAGAAAGTAGTGACATTGGATGCAAGCATATGCAAAACCACTTGATATGGGTTTTTCACATGCATGGCAACCAATCAATCCTGATTTCTCCTCACCACCATTGACACTAGCACCTACAATCGTCTCATAGTCGAGGAGCTTTAATAGATGCCTTTTATGACTAAAATGGTTAATCTCTTCCATCTCTCTCTCTCTCTCTCTCTCTCTCTCTCTGTGTGTGTGTGTGTGTGTGTGTGTGTGTGTGTGGTGTGTGTGTGTGTGTGCGCGCGCTCCCGCGTGGAAAATGACATATTCAATCCTTGGATTTATAGAAAATAAGGTAAGGCAAAATACCATTTCTAAAACTAAAGAAATCCATCTTAACATTTTTAGATTGCTTTGCTTCCGAGTATAGTTTTTAAAAAGCTATTTACAACATTCCTTTCTCATATATCAAGTTAAAGGTACCATACATCTCTTTTTCTAATTGAAATTTTATTTCTATGTCACACAAAAGAATTGGATTTCTTCCTTTTATTTTAGTTCTTTGATTACATTTTGGGCTTCATTGAAAGAATAAAAACTAGAATTTGTTTAACTCACACCAATGGTTATTATTTCTATGTATTAATGATGTTTTAACAAGGACTTGAATTAAATTGTATAGAAAGAAAAAAATCACCTAGATAATTTGGTTTTAGTGATGTTTGTACTTCAAAAATTAAATATGGAATTTTATAATTTTATTAGAAATTATATTTGGCGACTTTGGTTTTAATGATTTATATTGAGCTAGTGAAAGATTACAGTATTGGATAAAGCTCGGAATTCCGTCTTCATAATTGTAACATCTTAGATTTCAACAAACAAGTTAACATATATAAGGGGCTACATGCGACTTTAATAATGGATTTCTTTAGAGTTTTATATGTTTTCTTCGATGGAGGAAAAACGCGATAAACAGATTAATATAATAAATGTTTCGTAAAAATATATTGCTTTTTTCAAAAGAAAACAAAGAGTAGTAAACAATAAGAAGAGATTGTCGTGTAACTGTGCAAATATCATTGACCGAATGTTGAAAACTACTAGAAAAAAAACTATTTTAAATGCAGTTAAAATTGAATATATAATACGATCTTTCAGCCATATAATAAGAACCATACTCTATATCACCTCTCAATGCTCTAAAGTCCAAATTTAAGTCTATGAGGGAGGAGAAAGTCATTCCCTCCCAACCCACTGAACCCACTGTCACATCACTTTTTCTCTTTTATTTTTCTTCATCTTTCCGAACCACAACACACGGAAACTCTATCTTTTTGAACTCACTCAACTCACTCAATTAAAAAAAAATACAAATCAATCAAACGTAAAATATTAATTAACAATAGAGTTATCGGCGGTACCACTCCCGCTTCAACGAGTGGGTTGATTGGTTACACTAACCCACTTCATCATCTCTCTCTACTTTCTCTTTCTTATTTTCTCTTGTACCATGTGTTTTAAAACTTGTATCTTAGTTGTTTTGTATTTTTTTTAATTGAGTGGGTTGAGTGGGTTCAAAAAGATAGGATTTCCGTGTGTTGTGGGTTGAGAAACATTAAAAAAAAAGACAAAAATTGATGTGACAGTGGGTTCGGTGGGTTGGAAGGGAACGACTCCTCCTCCCCGATAGATATATTTGAATGCATTTTAAACAATTAATTTACACTACAAGTTTCGTGTAAATATGATAATTTTTTTCATAAATTTTATTTGACAACTTCGATATTAGCGGTTGATAAATCACAAACCTATCCCTTTGTAGCAGCTAGCTTACACTTCAAAATTTTAAATTGAGCAAGTGAAAAATTACATTATTAGATAAAACTCAAAATTTTAACTTGGTAAATGGTGAATGTAAGAGCACTCGCACCGTCTTTCAACAATCTCTTGCACATGTCATTAACATTACATATGTATCTTTCAACTGCTACAAGACGAGTTGTAATGCCACTTGTCTTTTATAATGTTTTATGTTTCTTTTCTCTACAATGGATATATATATATAATTAATATATATATAGAATATATATATATATATATATAATATATATATATGGGAGTGGTTCAAATGAGAACAAAAAAAAGTTAAGAACCCTAACAACCCTTATTTTATTAGTAAACATGTGTTGTTAGTAATATTAAATATGTTAAAGTCTCGATTTTTGTCTTTTTGGTAAGAAAATGACAAAATCTTAATTTTTATAGTCTAATATATTTATTCATCATTCATTTATATTTTAACACAAAAATTATATTAAATACAACTTTATATAGTCAATATACAATTTAATACATAAAATTCACAATTTAATATAATCCATTTTACATAAATTTACAAATTTAGAGAAGTCAAACTCAAACTCTACCACTACCACAATCACGACACGCCGCCACCAACCTTTGCTAGCTTAGCGGCCATCTTTCTTTCCAAAACAGATCTGTACATAAAGTCATACATTATTAACTTAAATACTACATTCACAATTTAATAAACATATTAATTAACTCATTTTGAATTTAATACAAAACAATTATAAAAACTAATGCATTCTTACATACTTATACACATAATACTCATAAGAAACTAATTCAAAAAATCATACAACAATCACTCATATTTTAACACAAAATTTACAGAAAATTCACAATAAATGCAGTCAATTACAACTTAATACAGTGAATTATCATTTAATACATAAAATTCACAGCTTAATCTAATAAACTAATAATTTAATACATGTAATTCCATATTTTTAACTTAAAACTTACATTTATACTTTTAAATCTAGAGGCTAGTGCTTATTTCAAAGTTTAATTTATATAATAGTCAATGTTTAAATTTTATATAATTTATTTAAAATTACAAAAAATCATATATGTGTATAATGCTTCTTTCTTCTCAAAGAAGCAAACACATATTCATAAATATTCACAGTTAATATAATCAATTCAACTTTTAGTACACACAAATTCACAGCTTATACAATAAATTCACATTTTAATACATAAAAATTATATATTCACAACCATATTCTCAACTAAAACTTACATTAATACGTTCATATATGGATACATTTATGTGTTTTAAATTGTGAATTTCTTATATTAAGCTGTAAATAAAATTCATTGTTTAATACATAAAATTCACAGTTTAATACAATACATTTAAAAATCATTTACAAGTATAATATCATACTTTAGTGTGCTAAACAGCCCATTCATATTTTAATATATGCATAAATTATCTTATATTTCAGAAGCCAACATCAAAAGAAAAACATATACATGGATCTTAAAATGGGATAACTTATTTGAAATCAACGAAGAAGATGAGTGAAAATAGAAGATCTTTTACTCTACCACCACCAGTAGCATTAATACCGCCAACTACCATACGCCACCACCAACCACCGGTAGAAACAACGCCAATATTCTTCCTTCACAAACCAGATCTGGATAAAAAAAATTGGAATTCGCAATTTAATACACCATTTCAGACACTAAATCATAAATTAATTTAATATTTCAGACATTAATTCACAACTTAGTGCATCATAAAAATACACATTCATAGCTTAATAACTTAGATATTCACAAATTAATACATTAAAAACACATATTCGCAGTTTAATAGCTTATCGAATTTGGTTGAGACATTTTATCAAACACTTTGTGTGCACCACACACATCAGATCCATAATCACCACAAAACATCAGATCTGATCAGATATATAAGACGATGTTATGTAAACATCTTATACATTCATTCATAGCCTAATTTACCATATTCACTGTTTAAAATCTAACAAAAATTCCAACTTAATACGTTTCTGTGCCCAGTCCAGTTACGTTGACTATGCATGTGACTTCTATAAGTTCTCAATTGTTTGCATAACAACCTGGAAACAATGGTAGGCCCTTGTGTTGCCAGGTGGCAAGAAATTAAGATTGAACAAGTTCAATCCATATGAGTTGGGATTTGTCACTAACCTTGTCTTGTGATTATGGTTATGACAAATTCACATGGATAGGAACACATACACCATTAATCTAAGTGACAAAGGTTTCTCCCCGCTTCATGAAAATGATTGTGAGGAAACATTTTCACTAAGTAGATTTTAAGGAGATATCATTTGCATTCTCAAATTTGATTATGATTACGACATCCCTTGAGAAATGGCAAATAGTTTGAACATTCGGAACTTATTGCTGTAAAATCTGAAATAGTTTAGACACACATATGAGCTTTCTTATAAAATGTGTATTAGCTTAGATAAAGGCCTATCGAAGCATCTTGTATCAGAAATCTGAACTTTGGTAAGAAAATCAATAAGTATTGATTTCTAGAAGTCCAACTTATTTCTGGGTACATGTTAAAGATAGTGGGA